TTTGTAAATTGATAAACATAAACAATTACAATATATATTTTTGAAAGCATTCTTACTTTATGGCATTTTTTCACACCTGCCTAAAACTTTTCCACAGTACTGTATATCTGTGTTTTTTGTTTTCTTTGGCTTGTTTTTATATTTTTTTTCTTAGTATCTTTTAAAAATTCTTTGGGTCTTTTTCTTTTTATATTCTAAAGCAATATTTTTTTAAATGTTATATAAATTGGTAATTACTTTATCTAATAAAAAGCTGTTAGATTAGCCTCCCCCAACTTGGTATTTTCAGATACACTAGACTAGTTGCTACTAGTTGGTGGGCCTTACAGGGCAACACATCTGGAGGGCATGAGACTAGAGATTATTATGTGAGATAATTCTTTCAATTTCTATTCTAAATTGGTCCAAAATTATTTCTATAGAGAAAATAAATGTGTGCTAATTTGTCCTTTAGAACTTGTCACTATAGGAACAAGTACAGATTCAATTCATGTCAAAGTTATAGTGTACCTTCAGAGTCAGCAGTATAAATTATACATAGCAGTTTCCATCTGCACTATTCATATTCACTATAGTGCCCTTGCATATTTTTCTCTTTGGCTTCATTGTTTGGCAAAATAAATAAGGAATTAGGACCAGTTTATATGGCCTCTAATGAACTCATGGTAATGCAGAGAAAATAATAGGCTTGCTGAAACTGCTAGCTGAGAAAGAAACCAACTATTTAATTTCTTGGTTTCTGTCGTAGTATCCTCACATACTATATTTTCTTATAACCAGAAGATTCCTCGTTGTAATCCATGACATCTCTATTCATTGAAAAACTGAAGATCAAATCTTTTACATCTAATGTATAACACTCTGTTTTAACACACACCTTGTAATCTAATAAGTTTGAAGGAGAAGCTGAAAATCAGTTGGAAAGTTCTAGCTGCTTCAATGTGACCTAGAATAACCTGAATTTTGTAATAAACATTGAGTATTATATTTACTATCTAGTAGTTAAGGTCAGCAAGCTTTGATGGTGCTAATTGTGATTTTTTTGTTTTCAAAGTCACTGATATACAATATGTGGATTACCAAGAGCAGACTACATCAACTTCTCACACTATTCTTGATGATGATGATGATGATGATGATTACAACTACTGTTGTTACTACTTTGATGATGGATTGTGAGAAATGAACTGAAACAGACATACCCTAAATGTAATATTCATAAATACAGGTTGGTTCTATATTTGATAAACTATTTCTACTGACCTGAAAAGAAAATAGTAGAACTATAAATAGATTTACTCTAAGTTTTCACTCAGAATATCTATCTCGTCAATGTTTAGCCCTGTAGTCACACAAAGCAGCATCACAGCATATTTACTGAATGCAATATAGGAACTTATTCTGACAGCTAAGTTGCCTCAAACTTTGTTAAGTAGGAGGGAGAGTCGACTGTTCTACTAACAGTCTATCAGTGAAAAGCTCCTCATGCAAGGGGCATCCCAAACCAAATGGGGGGCACACACAACTGAGTATCCATGCTCTATGATGACTTAAGCTGGCATTGGAAGAGGCAGCATGATGAGGGAAAACAGTGGGCAAGTTATATAAATGTTAAAAATTATAAACAATCCATCATGCATCAAACTTCAACAAGAAATTCTTCCAGTTGAAGGAAAAGCAGCTATGCTTGTTAAAAAAAGCAGAAAAAGAAAGCAAGCACTATAACTGTAGGGAATTAACTCTAGAAACTTACGTGAAGGCAAATGCCACCAATGCTCCACTGACCACAATGAAATCCAAGATGTTCCACAGGTCCCGAAAATAAGAGCCCCGATGAAGGATCAGTCCTAAGTCAATCATCTGTAAAATCAGATAAAGCAAAGAAATGCAGGATTTGCAAATCAATATGCATGATTCTGATTAACTGCAGCCCTGAAATTTTCAGTCTAAACATTAATCTAACTGGACCCACTTTACAAAGAAGGAGATGAAGGGCATAAAAAGGAACTTTCTTTCAAGAAAATAAAAATACTAAAAATAGATTTATAAGTACAATTCTATTATTTATGTCCAGT